GAGGTAGTTTCTATAATTTCTTTATCCCCGTGCTAGTAGTATAAAGTAGAGCTCTCGATTTTGTTCGCACATTTTCAAACAGCCCGGGTATATGAGCAGCGAGTACTCGCACACTTGTTCAATGCTCATTACTCGAAAATTTTCGAGCATGAGCTCGAGCAATTCGAGTTTTTTCGAGTAATTTGAGCAATGTTTTTTTTATTATATTGACATTTTTGGTAGAAACTTTTTAAATTTTTCAAATTATTGATATATAATGCAAAGATTGTTTCATTGGTATTTAATAATATAATTTATTTAACATGAATTAGAAAGCAGCTGCTGACAAACACAATTTACAAATTTTCTTTTGTTTATGAAATTGTTCAAAAACTCGAAAATTTTGAACAAACATTTGAGCAGTTGAGCAATGAACGAGTTTCGAGCGAGTATCGAGCTACTCGCATTGCTCGATACCCGGGTATCTAGAGCTCTAGTATAAAGTTAGTGACACTGCGCTTTATAACGAAAGAAAACACGACTATTGTCGCATGTGTAAACGAAAAGAGAGTGTGGGTCGTTCATGTTACAGAGTGCATAAACTTATAAGATTATCTGATTTGTTTCACTCCTTCCACGGGTGCTTTCATGCCGCGTGACGCGCGGACACACAACGAGCGTGGTGCAACCAGAGAACGCAAAAAAATTAAATTTATTTATAAACATAAGCATAGATTATATATTTTTTAAAGTTGTATACATAAATATGTACATATGTACATACATAACATGCATATTTATATATGTACGTATGTATTTATGCATGTATTTTGTCTTTACAGAGAAAAATAAATAAAGAGGAGTGTAAAGGGCATTTTTTTAGACATGTGGAAGAAATAAAACGCGTATGCTTTAAAAATGATTTCGAGCAAGTGACCGCCGCGGCTGGCTCGAATAAATTCCAGTCCAATTTTCGAGCACTTTTTGCAGCAATTAGGATCGTATGTCAGCAACAACGCGCCGAATATTCTCTTCCAAGGTGTCAACCGTCTCGGGCTTATCTGCGTAGACAAGCGACTTCACATAACCCCACACACAATAGTCCAGCGGTGTTAAATCGCACGATCTTGGAGGCAACACCACAGGCCCACTACGCGAGATAATGCACTCACCAAAAGTTGCCTTCAATAAATTGATTGTTTCGTTGGCTGTATGGCATGTAGCGTCGTCTTGTTGGAACCAAAGGTCGTCCACATCAACATCCTCCAATTCAAGCACGAAAAAGTCATTATTCATAGCTCTATAGTGTTCCCCATTGACTGTAACATTATGGACGCTTCGCGC